GGTGAGGGGAGTGTGGAAGGGAAGAAGCATGATGACGTAGGGCAGGGATGGCGAACCTGTGTCACGCGTGTCACGGAGTGACACGCTCGCATTATTACAGACACGCCAATTTCAAATATAATTCATAATTTTTACTTCACTTTCCAAAAAAATTATTGATAATTTGAAACTATTTTTAACTTATTATTGGAGTATATCGTAAGATATTGTAATCTGTACTTTCCATTTCCTAAGCTCGTAAACGAAACGATTAGATTAGATAAATAAATTCGTTTATCACGTTTACGTAACAAACGTAGGTACAACAGAACAGTCGACAGTCGTCAACAGATAGTTTCGGATGCCTTACACGACGACTATTTTAACCAACCTATTCAATATTGCTTCGGGCTTACTCAATATAATTCACGTTTAACCATTGGCAGTTTAATACATTGGTGAGTATTATTTTTTTACCAATATTTCACCAAAAAATTAAAAATTCGTATAAAATAATTAATATTATATTCTTAATTTATAGAATAAAGATGTTCAAAAAATTAAAACTGAATCCAGAGAAAAGTGGTAGTGGGAGATTATTCCACGAACAGTGGACAGTGCATTTTGGTGTACTTCAAAACAATAATAAAGTACTATGTTGCTTGTGTAACGAAACAGTTGTAAGCCGTAGTTTTAATGTTAAAAGACATTTCGAGACAGTTAATAATAATATATTTTCTCTATCGGCTGAAGAAAAATTAGAATTGATTTCTCAAAAAGTAAAATTTTTTAGAAGTCAATCAAACAAATTTAAAGTGGCGTTCAAACAAAATAATAATTTATCAGCCGCTAGTTTTTCTGTGTCGCATTGCATTGCGCAGCATGGTAAGCCACTTTCTGACGGAGAATACTTAAAAGAAGTTTTTGTTAAGGCGTCTAACATTTTGTTTCATGATTTTACTAATAAAAATGAAATAATAAAACGTATTAACGATTTGCCTGTTAGTAGAAATACTGTAAAAGATCGTATTATTTGTATGAGTAATGATATAACAGATTTGGCTTTAGAAAACTATTTTTCAATCTGTCTTGACGAAAGTACAGATGTAACTTCACAGGCGCGACTAGCAGTCTTTGTTAGGTTCAGTAGTGTTAATATTATGAGGGAAGAATTAGTAAAATTAATGACGATTTCTACTAAAACAACTGGTCAAGATATTATGAATGTAGTACTTAAAGAATTCGCCAATTTAAAAATAAATATAAATAATATTGTTTCAATAACTACGGATGGTGCCCCTAATATGGTTGGCAAACACAATGGATTTGTTCAACTTTTTTCGAAAGAAATTTCTCATTCGTTAATCAGATTTAATTGTTTAATACATCAAGAAGCGTTGTGTGCTAAAGACAGCTTGCAATCGCTTCAAAATGTAATGGAAGTAGTTACAAAAGTTGTCAATTTCATTACATCTCGTGCTTTAAATAATCGACAATTTACTAAATTATTAGATGAAGTTGAATCACGATACCCTGGCCTTTTAATGTATAACAGTGTTCGTTGGTTGAGTCGTGGTCAAGTTCTTCATCGATTTGTTGAATTATTAGAAGAAATACGATTATTTTTATTCGAAAAATCTCAAGATTATCCAGAACTTAAAGATTTAAATTGGTTGAACGATTTAATGTTTTTCACTGATTTTACTACAATGTATAATGAATTAAATAAAAAACTTCAAGGGCACTTTCACATAGTCTTAACAATGTTTGAAAATATCAAAGGTTTTGAAAAAAAAATTGAAATTTATTGTAAAGATCTTAAAAATGAAAAATTTAAATATTTTCCACATTTGAAAAATCATCTGAACAATTCATTACACTTTGCAGATAGTCAGACTGACATCAAATGTATAATTAAAAAATATGTTAATATATTAGAAAATACAACTGAATTATTTTCTAATAGATTTTCACAGTTTCGATGTCTAGAACCAACCTTTCAATTTTTAATAAATCCATATACAATTACATATGATGAACTTGATCTATCTTTTTTTGAATGGCTAAATATCGAAAACTTGGAAATGGATTTAATAGAATTTCAGGGAAATGTAATTTGGAGAAATAAATTTATTAATTTAAACAGCGAACTGGAAAAATATTATTGTGAAATTGATAGCAGTATTAAAACCGAAAACCTAATTCTTATTGAGTGAAAAAGTCTACCAAATTCAGTTACATCCATGAAAAAATTAGCACTTTCATTATTGACTATGTTTGGTTCTACATATACATGTGAGCAGCTATTTTCCTCCATGAATTTTATCAAATCCACATTGAGAAATCGTCTTGGAACAAATATCAGTGCAGCATGTATTCAATTAAAATCTACAAATTATAATCCCAGGATTGATTCGTTAGCTGGAAATATGCAGCAACAAATTTCTCATTAAAAACTTATTTTTGTAATTAAAAAAATATGTGTTTATTATTAATATGTAATAGTAAATAGTAAATTAATGCTGTAAAGATATATTAATATGTACATGTAACTTTATAAATAGTAAATAGTATAAATGCTGTAAAGTTATATTAATATTCAATAGTACCTAAATAGAAAATGCTGCAAAGTTTAAATATTTTATACACCTAACAACAAATAGCGCCGTGTGGGAACTCAGATTCATGAACTTCCTAGGCTTACAAACAATAATATTGAAAGTTTCCACAATAAGCTAAGAATAAAATTTTCAGTGACTCATCCCAATTTATGGATATTTTTAATATGTTAATCAATATTATTAATTAAATACTACTTTAAAACTATAAAACTGATTTTTAACGTTTGTAAACTGAAAATACTAATTATATAAATGTATGGATTGTGATAAATATTTTATAATATAATTTATACTATCTAATAAATTACCAAACAAATAAGTATGCATCTTCTGAAAATTCATGTTTCTGAAATTTACTTAGACAATTTTTCTTATAGGTAATTTGAGTAATTTATTTAATAATTACCATGTCATAATGAGGCAGCTTGAAAATAATCTTCAACCTACTAGGAGTTTGAAGGCAATACGATGCTGGGATCATAAGTATGTGGCAGTTCATGCAATTGACTTCGTATACCACATCAAAATATATATCTCGACACATAAATTGGATCAATGAGGTAGATCCAAATTCTGAGCCAGAAGTGGAAGCTGCTGCTGTTGTACAGCATATTCAGGAACCACAACTGCCTATACCCACTGTGCATTTTAGGTTACAGAACATTGTTGCGATGTATGATATAAGTTTCAATGCTAACATCGCACCTCGACGTTACCAAAACATCGTGTTGAACGGTTTAGTTTTACAAATATTTTAAGTTTATATATAAACAACCCAGAAACGTTGACGTTTCAACATCTCTGAAACAAGTTGCTGTAACAGTACAACAACAGCGTAGTGATGTGATGGAGAACTATTTATATTTTTAATAATAATAAATATATTATAATAACAAATTGGTTCAATTATTATTTATAAATAGACAAATATAGTGGTATTTTTATATTTTTTTAGCTATATCCCACGCTCGCCGCTAAAGCGCGGATATAGTTATAACCATGATATAAACAACACGGTATGATCGCAAAAAACCATTTTTGGTTCTAGTCTGCGCAATACGTCACTTGCTTACCCTTATTATCAGTAACATTATTTGACTTGTTATCAATTGGGTTTTTAATTTGTTAATAGTAATATTATTCGTTCATCGAATTATGTGAATTTGTTTTTTGTTCTTACACTCTTTCAGTTGAAACAGTTTAATTTACCTACAATGGCTCCTGTATGTTCTGTTTCTGGATGCACTACAGGGAGTAAATCTAGAAATAAATCAATTACCAGTGCGGAAGAAGTACCCAGAATGCATAGGTTTCCGAAGGATCCTATCATCCAGAAGTTGTGAGTATC